TTATCTCAACGAAAGATTCTTTATTCCTCAACTTATGGCTTTGATTTATTTCAGGACTGGGCACTAGCAAAGGCTTCACAGAGCAGTTAGCACTTGACATGAAGACTTAAAGGAAGCTAGGGATTCCAAGGGAGAACATTCCAGGCATGGGGCATAGGTGGTACAAAAGTTAGTCAGATATTTAATATAACCAAGGGAAAAAAATCCTTTCTGCCAAAGCAGTGAAAAGCACACAATATTAAACAATTATAGTAAGAATTTCTAAGTCCAATAAACTGATGGAAACTTGCTCTGATAATTTAAAAATCTGAAGAAAACCAACCTATCTACACAAGACAATTTTGTGGGGCTTGGATGGGAGTTTGAATTGGAATACTAACATCTGGAAGTATAGGAAAAATACTTCAACATAGATGCATGTGTTGATTTGGAAAAGTATCTCATATGGAGAGTAGTTCTGACAAGAGAAAAGTCTATGGGGGACATACTCGATTTTGCCTTGGTTAGTGAAGACCTGCACCTATATATTCATAGCTTCTCCTTTAAGACAGATGGAGATTATTATTGTGTTATACTTTAATACGAAACTTAGGAGAACCAAAATGGCATCTAGGAAGACTTAGAATGTCACCTGAGTTGATGGTAGTTATTTTGGGAGATGAAATGTTTACTATAAATACACCCAGCTTCTAGTCTCTACTAAAGCAGCTGATCAAAAGGCATCCTTCTAAATCAGCATCAGTTAAGAGCTAGATTTCAAAAATAAGGCTTACAGCCCAGCAAAGTACAAAGAAGTACATTTAGGGCAAGTACTACTACAATTCACTAATCGAATTTGCAATGCTCTTTCATGCACCCAAGATGAAAGGATTTCAAAGAACACTCAACAACCCTCACCTCAGTTCCCAGTGAAATTTCCCTCCATCAGAACCAATGCACACATTAATATTCATGATTTTAAAAGAGTCTTCATTGACAGGGGCATTCTTTAGCAAGTGAGGGTGGGTGTTAAACACTCTCCACTTAACTTGTTTAAACTGATCTTTTGGGGCCCATACCTGCAGGAATGACCATACTGAATATTTTTATATATCTACACACACCCCAGAAGAAACACTTACACAAAGAGTTCTCCAGAGTACCCATGTTAATGGCACACCAAATGCCCTTACCATAAAGCAGCCTTTAAAAAAATTCTATATGTGTTTCATCTAAAGAAGGATCAATGCACAAAAATCCAAAAATTAGCTAATTTCTTCAACATTCACTTAGAGAAAGCATCCTTTAAACATCTTCTGTAAACTCAGATCTGTGGTAGGCTGTGATGGTGATTCAAAAGTTTTAAAAAATAAAGGATCAAAGGGTTTGGAGCTGTCAGGGACCCTTAGTGATTTTCTAGTCCAGTGGTTCTCAAAGTTTAGTCTAGGAATTCCTGGGGATCTCCAAGACCTATTCAAGGGGTCTTCGAGATAAAAAATATTTTCATAATAATATAAAACTTTTTAAATTTTAATGTAGCAAATAGTGATAGATATACCCAACATAAATAAAAACTCTTTGGAGGAGTCCTTAATAATTTTTAAGAGGGTCTTTTTAAGGGATCCTAAAGCAAAACAACAACAACAACAACAAAAACAGCAATGAGAATCATTGATCTAGTCCAGGGGTGAGGAACCTGCAGCCTTGAGGCCACATGTGGCCCTCTAGGTCCTCAAGTGCTAGGCCCTTTGACTGAATCCAAACTTCTGTGAGGACCTAGAAGGCCACATGTGGTCTCGAGGCCGCAGGTTCCCCATCCCAATCTAGTCCAATCCCTATGTTGTACAGATGGCAAAACTCAACCCATAGAGGTAAAAGAGACGTAACACATATATCTAGAATTTATTAATTTAAAGCAATAGCCAGACATCCTGGAGGAATTCAGAAAACTATTATTAGGGAGCTACAATTATATTACAAAAGGGTAATATTCTTGAAGCCCTTTGAGACTGAATTGGGGGTATGGAACAGATAATAATGGCAATTACAGCAACAATAACTCACACTTTTATATCATTTTGAGTTTTTCAGAGTTTTCTTATCACAACAATCATGTAAAGTAGTTACTGGAAGTATTATTATTCCCATTTTGCAGATGAGGAATAAGAGGCTCTGAGAGTCTGTGACTTGTCTCTGATCCCATAGTAAGTCATTGTCAAAGGCAATCTCTTGCCTCCCAGCCCAGTGCTCTCTCTACTCTGTTCCTTCCAGATTTATAATCCATGATTTTAGGAATTTCCCGTAAACATTCATCTCACTTACACAAACCACATTTTCAACAGCAACAACAACAACATACATATAACTTTTCAGGAATTCATCTATTGGGGAAAAAAAGAAAAGAGAGACCGATATTTTAATTTTATAAAGGGGATATAGTAGTCAAATGACTGTCATATGGACACAATGAATAAGGGATGAGATAGGGGATGTAATTTTATTTTTTAAAGTATTGGTTCTCATATGTGGAGCCATCTCTGACTCATCCTTACTTCATTTCCTATAACTGATTGACTGTTCCTCACCACCACCACCCTATTCTTTTCCTTACTTCTTGTTCTACCAATATTATACAGTTCATCTGTTCCTTTAATATTAACGTCAAATAGCCACTGTGAATGATCATGGCCTTATTAATGCTCATATAAAAAAAAGGCCAACTTTCAAAAAGCTGCCATCTGATTCAAAATAAATTTTATTTCAAGTTGTGATACATAAAAAATGGATTACTGCTAATTAGAGGTCAAAACATGATTTTTTGGTATTCTGTAAAGCTCACTGAGATCATACTGAATAAACAAATGGGGTACAAAATTATGTCAAATAGTTAAATTGCAGATGAAAATATATGCCAAGTGAATCACAAATTTCATCCAATTGAAATGACATGGGACAATTTTGGCTAGACTTGGCAGCAGTTCATTACGTTTAATGAACATAATCGTCTTCCAGGTTGTTGTTTCATTATATCAATTTTGGATGGAAATGTAATTCTTAAATCAGCTCAGTACTTAGTTGACACTTTACTGAAAAAAAAGTTTGTGCAACTTTTTGAGTACTTGTGATGCATAGATAATGTGTTTTCATATTAAAAAGCAAAATATTTGTGCTTTATATCAGCCAATGTCACATCTTAGATATATTCTAAACCAAAGTCAAACAATAATAACAATCAATAGTTCAGTATTTTTGTTTTTCTTTTCAAATACTAGTTCATAATTTCATTACTAGTTTTCTTTACTGGTTCACAAAGATATAATGATTCAGGCCTGGTGAAACTGATACAAAGTGAGTTATTTCAGTATTGTCTGAGAATTTCCAAAGAGTTTTCCCAAGTTCATTTTTAGCACTAAGTTAGCCCCTTATATATTTATGTTTACTAAAATCCCTCCATATCCTTCCTTTGGGCACTCAACTCTTCCAATACTTCCATTGTACTTTTTGAAGTCCCCTACTCTTCCTTCAGGTCCCTAGTGCTAATCTATTTACACAGACATTGCCAGAGAATGTTAAAAGGTGGGTTTTAGTAACAGAAAAGAAACCGCAGATTTGATAGTCATTTTATTTCCTGTATTGAAAAATAAGGGAAAAAATCCCTGGCCCCTGGAAAATAGCAAAATGGCCACTTGTTCCTTAGACTTGAGAATTCTTTCCAATCCTGATCAAACATAGACTTGAACTTCTTCCCAGTCTCATGAGGAATGAGAAGGACCAGATAAGATCCTTATGAGGATGAGAAGATCCTAAGTCCATGTTTGAGCATGATAGAAAGAAAATGCCTCTCTTGTAGGATAAACCCTTTGGACCTCAAACAACAGTAGCTTAGACAATTCGATAACATAACCCCTTATGATTTAAAAGTAACCACTGCAGAACCTTTTCTCAGAGTAAAAGTGTAATTGGTTATAGATCAATAAGTAATTTCTTTCAAGAGAAAAAAAAAAACTCTTGGTATCTATGTGTGTATGCACGCATTTTTAAAGTAACAAGGCTCTTAAATCAATACGGAGCAAATATATTTAGAAATTTGAGATTACCCTAAACAGTAAGATTTCTTGCTGTACTAGTTAAGCTTATCTCAACTGCTCATTTATTTATGATGCCATAAAAATCCAGATGCTTTTGATTGCTACTTATTTGCTATAAGGCAATTGAAATTACTTTTCAAGACTTCCTATTGTGACAAGTGCATTTTCAACAGAAAATTTATGACTATACAATAATGGTGGTATCCTTTTTTTTTAAAGATTAATAACAAATTCAGTTTTCAGGATAACTCTAACCCTCTAGAGACCTTACTGGAAATTTCAGAAGTCTGACGTAAAATTGAGATAAGTAAACTTCCTTGGAGAATTGAAGCCCGATAAATGACTGCACTGATATGCCTTGGTTACAGTGTTGGAATATCAGTACAAGGTTGCACATCCACATGAGGGGTGTGATGTTGGAAGGCTTTTCCATGGTGACAATATAGCTATAGAACCATTCCCCTTGTCTTATAAATTCTGTCTTCCTTTATTACCACTCATGTCACTAAATCCTCTGTAAGGCTTCAATTATTTGCCCTTAGTTTTTTTCCATATCATATTACTCTAGGCTCTTCTGCTTTCCCCTGGGAAAGAGATCCCAGTGATGCAATAAGAGAACTCAAACTGGCTTCAGTTTGTAGGCTACCCATCCTAATTCCTGCCAAATTAGTAGGCACATTTTATTTTATTTCATTTTTTTAAAGCTAGCTCCAAAATATCTGCTATAGACTCCAGAATTCCCTTTTAAAAAGCTTTTCTAAAAAACATAATAATGTAAATAAAAGACAAAATATCATACACACACACACACAATCATTTAGAACATCAAAAGTTGTAGTCGGTCTGAAAAACCTCCACTGGACAGCAGTAAGAACAATTAGGAAAGAATACTTTCAGAAAAGTAAAAATCCATTTTGGGTTGAGAATACTTACAATATGTAGCTCTAAGTAGTCACCGAGCCCTGAAGAACTGTCCACTCGTACCAATACAGCTTCTTTCTGAACCGTGCTAAACCCTATGGCCAGTCTGTCTGCACGTGTACTGGGCCGGTCATTAGGAGGCCATTTGTATGTGATTTGTCCACCACCTTTGCTAAAGATATATGTTGTTCCAGCTGAAAACAAAAGCAAAATAAACAAAATGATAAAGTCAATTCGTCCTTTTGCATCAAGGCTATACAACTTTGTCATTACTCTTGGCTTTACTCTAATAAGCTCAGGAAAGAGGAAAAAAAAGATACAGATGCTTTAAATGAAATAGCATGGTAACTCAATTTTAAAATACATTCACTGAATCTACTAGCAGGTGTTTCAGAAAAATGTTGGATCCCCTACTGCCTATTCCACTGAGTGAGGCATAAAGATGCAATGGGACATAGTAGGAAAAACCATATTTGAGGATTCAGTAGAACTGGGCTCTAATTCTCACAATATTATAGCCATGTGACTCCTGGGCAAATCTTTTGATGTTGCAGCTGACATCTGTTTCCTCATCTGTAAAATGAGTGTATTACCTATCTTGTCAACCTCCTAAGGTTGCTATGGGGATCAATAATATTAAGTAATAATAATATTGCAAATATTATAAATAATTATAAATATTGCAAATAATTTTTCTATGAGAGGCAACATGGATGTAAGAAAAAAAAGAGTCAAGTGAATTGAGATAATGGAGTAAAAAGGCTAGAACTTGGGGGACTTCTACAGTACTGAGATAGAACAGTTTAAGATAGCCATCTGTGAGATTTAGGTATATAATAGGAATAAAAGATTTGTAACTTTTCTGGTCCAGGACAAGGAAGATTAATCACTCTGGCTGCTGTGTTCTTGACAATGGTGGACTAGCCTAGCGGCCTTGGGTTGTCACAGAATGTTTCTAGGCCTCAATTTTCTCATCTATAAAATGAGGAAGTTGGACTAGATCAGCTTGATCAATCAACAAGCGTCTATTAAGCACTTATTGTGTGCCAGACACTGTGAAAGAGCTGGGAATACAAAGGAAAAAGTAAAAAACAGCACCTGCCATCCAAAAGCTTACATCAGAATGGATGCTAGCATTTAGTTTGGGTTTTAGCCATTCTCTCTCTCTTTGTCTCTCTCTGTCCATACATATATGTGTGTGTGCATGTGTGCATGTGTATATGTGTGTGCATTGTGTGTGAATATGTGTAAAACCTTCCCACCAACTCTGTGAAGTAGATGCTATTATTATCCTTATTTTATCAATGAAGAAGATGAGGCTGTGACTTGTTCACAGTCATACAGCTACAAAGAGCTAGCTTACTAGCACATAGATATTAAATGCATAAGGTATTATCTGAACTCAGGTCTTTCTCATTCCAAGTCCAGCACTCCATTCACTATCACTATGCCAGATCAAGATATCAAGATGCCAAGATCTTCATGGCTCCTTTCAGCCCTAAGAAAGGCTACAATTCTAACTTTGATGCAAAAACAACTTTTCTTAGGCTATATCAAGGATCACGTCAATGGATCTATGACCTGAATGCTTCCAGTGCATCCCATCCGTACTTGTCCTTCCTGTGCATCCAATATAGTGGGATCCTTTCTTTTATTTCCCAGGTATTGTATGGCTACTCTGAAATCAGAGAATCTGGGTTCAAATTTCAGCCCTGATGGTTATTACTAGTGTGTCCTGGGCTAATCACTTAACTTTCTTCAGCCTCAGTTTCCTCATCTGTAAAGCATTGAACTAAATGGTCCCTGAGTTCCATTCCAGTTCTAAATCTTTCATTCTAATGGCACATTCAGCTGTCCAACTGTTATTCCTGTCTCTTGCCACATGCTGGCCCATCTTTCTTTTTTCTTCTCTTTTTGTTTTTCCTTCCAGATTATTGTTTAGTACTTTAAATCAAAGAATTCAGCAGTGAGTACAAGGTCACGCTTTGGAGATTCAGATTTGGGCATTTATAGAGACCTCTCTCTGAAGGTAAATATCATAATGCAAGTTTCATTACCAAGGATTTGGTTTTTAGCTCATCTTCCAACTTTTTTTTCCAGAGTATTAAGACCTAGAAACCACCAAGGCCATTGTCTAAACTGTCATGCTTACCATTGCTTTCAGGCTCTATACGCATCATCAGGAGAGAATGAATGTAGTTGCTTTCACAAAGGCTTTTACACAATGTGACAAATCTCACTTTGAGGTGGGGGGGTTCTTTTTGTGAGAAGTCACTGAAGAGCAGTCATCTTTTTTTCTTTCTTGTTCATGGCTGTGCTTTGTTTTGTAGTGATCAGCTCAATTCCATTGTGGGCAGTGGAATTAGATTGTCAAGGCCTTGACATCCTGCCTATCCCCTTTATAAGCTTCATATCATTCTTTTAAAAGTAGTTTAGATCTAACACTCACAAATTCCCTGTGCTCTTAACAGTCTTCTACTAACTTCTACTAACTCAGGGGCTTAGAAAAGCCTAATACTAAGCTTTAAAGTAACGTTAATGTCTTTATAATTAAGTAGAGTTGGTCAGACAAAGGTATTTAATGACAATTTTTTCAAATGGCTTGCCAGTGAAAACATTCAGTTCAATAACCACGTATTAAGCCTCTGCTGCCTTATGGAACAACACTGTGCCATGCATTGGAGGAGAGACAGAGTTTCCATACTAGGCTTGTCTATGCCATCGTGGCATCTACCAGTCAAGTACCAGCATGTAATTCTTACACAGAGAAGTGTTATGCAAAATAGGGCACATGATAAATGCATTGAGGAGTATGGTGCTTTGGCTGACTAGAGGGGCAGCCTCAGAGTCAGAAGAACCTGGTTTCAAATTCTGCCTTTCACACACACACACACACACACACGCTAGTTGTGTGAATACAAAACCAGTCACTTTTCCTCTCAGGTCCCAAGACAACTTTACAAGAAATTTTAAAATCCCAGGTCTGGACCATGCATTCCCTCCTTGTTAATCCAAATAAGATGTTCAGAGAGGTAGAAAGTACTATGCAACATCCTAAGGTGAAAGGATAATTAGAACCAAGGAAGGCTTCATAGAGGTCTTAGCATTTGGAATGAGCTTTAAAGGTTGGATAGGAATTCAATAGGCAAAGAAAGGCATCCTACAAATGGTAAACAAAGGCAAAAAGGCAGGAAAGTGAAGTGTACTAGGGTCAAAGGGTAGTTTACTTTGGCATCGACCATAGGTAAAGAAGAAAAATATGAGAAAAATTGGGGGGGCACCATGGGACCATGAATGCTCTACAATGTTTGCCAAGGTGTTTGCTGGTGCCTTAGAAGATGTCCTTGCTAAAAGTCCAAATTAAAGACGACAATAACAACAACAACTACAGCAAAAACAATCACAACGACATAGGTGGTGAGTCTTAGAGCTGGAAGGGAACGCAGAGGTCATTCTAGTACAACATTCTCATTTTAAAGATAAGGACATCAAGGCCCAAAGAAGTCCTGACTTGCCCAAGGTCACATAAATGAAGTGGTGCAAGGATTTGCACTCATGCCTTCTGAAGCCAGATCCCATGTTTTTTACTATGTCACATTATCATATTGATTGCTACTAGATCACTACAAACTAGATCACACAGGAACACAAAGGAGTCATCAAAATCAAAGTGAATATCAAATACTTATTTCCCAGAGTGTAGCATGTAGCTGGGTAAGCAAGCCATCAAAAGAGAACATCCACATGAGCACTCTGGAATGTTGTAGTACAGGTAATGAACGGGACTTAGAATTGAGTCGGAACAGTGGAGCACCCTAAAATGTATTTGGAAAATTGTCCAGTGATTTCAATGACCTCAAACTCTTTAGCACTCCCAAGCCCATCTCTTTAGCAGAGGTGTCAAACTCTCCACAAGGCTCCACAAAACTCCAAAGTGTGGCCAAACTAAATTAAAATGTAATTGAGAAATGTTTAACAAAATAAATTAAGGTACACCATGGATAGTGTTAATTTGTGATTTTTTTAGGTCAATACACAGGACAGGGATCTGTTTCTATTTGAATTTGATACCACTGCTTTACACAGCAACGTTTTCCCCCGATGCTATTTATCTATAAATCAGAAACCAGTGCAAACCCAGAATAATTAAAATTGCAAATAGAGTGACAAATAAAAGATGGGCAGCCTGAATTTCACTTTGATATTACCAATCAACCAATCAACAAGCATTTATTAAGCACCTAGTATATGCTAAGCACTGTTCTATATATTGGAGATATAAAAATAAAAATCAATGTAGAAAAAGAACAGGAAGAGGTCCTCCAATATGTTTGGCAGATCCTGTTTGAAAGATTTATGTGAAAACACAGGCAAGAATTTCACAAGATGAGAAGACATGGGATCTTTGCGATCTTGGTTGGTAAAGGGAATATTCACACCTGGGAAATCAGGGAGCCATACAAAGATTCAAAATAAGCCTTCCAATATTGACTTGATCTTAAAAAAATCTTTTTGAATAAAGACAATTCATTATCTATGTGATAATATGCAGAAAACTTTAGGATAGGTGTTAATTTACTGTGTAAAAAAGCAAAAATATCCAGTCAGTAAATAAGCATTTATTAAGTGCTTACTCTGTGCCAAACACTGTGCTAACTGCTGGGGATATAAAAAAAAATGCAAAAGACAGTTCTTGCTCTGAAGGATCTTAAAGTCTAATGGATGAGACAACATGCAAACGACTATGTACAAGCAAGATACAGACATGATTAATTGTAGATAATCAGCAGAGAGAAGGCACTACATTGAGGGGGGTTAGTAAAGACTTCTTGAAGAAGGTAGGATTTTAGCTGTGACTTGAAAGAAGTCCAGAGACAGAGATGAGGAGGGAGAAAGTTCCAGGTATGGGGAAGAGTGAAAATGTCCAGTCCAGAAAAGGAATGTCTCCTATGAGGAAAGCCTATAGGATAAGATAGTCTCCTATCAAGAAAGCCACAATAATAGGAATGCAGAATCCAGCATAAGGTACAAGAAAGCTGGAAAGGTGGACATAGGGGCAGGTTATAAAGAATTTTGAATGCCAAGTAGAAGATTTTATACTTGGTCCTGAAGGATAAAGTAAACCACTGTAGTCTATTCAGGAGGAGAATGAAATGGTTAGACCAGAGATCCAAGGAGATCACTTTGATGTTTG